CACACCTTTAATCCCAGCACTCGGGAGGCAGAGCCAGGCGGATCTCTGTGAGTTCAAGGCCAGCCTGGGCTACCAAGTGAGTTCCAGGAAAGGTGCAAAGCTACACAGAGAAACTCTGTCTCGGAAAAAAAAAAAAAAAAAGTCTTTGAGAGGCCGGGCAGTGGTGGTGCATGCCTTTAATCCCAGCAGCCGGGAGGCAGAGGCAGGCAGATCTCTGTGAGTTCGAGGCCAGCCTGGTCTAGAAAGTGAGATCCAGGACAGCCAGGGCCACAAAGAGGAACCCTGTCTCAAAAAACAAAACAAAACAAAACAAAAAAATAAAACAAAAGTCTTTGAGAATGTGTATTTCCCTTCCTCCAAGAGAGTTTATAATTTTAAAAATTACACAGCAATGATTAATGATCTCTGAATGATTGTTATTATTCAGAAATACAAAAAGATAAAGTTGAGTCTGTAAAAGAAACCTAGAAATGTACTTATTCATAGTCTATATCTCAGAAAGGCAATCTTCTATTCTGTCAAAAAAAAAAAAAATAGTTGGATAACTAAGAGCTTATTATCCATGAGCAGAGACTCATGGCACTGTGACTCCAAATGAAGCCTCTCCTTTTTTATTTTTATTTTTTTGGTTTTTCAAGACAGGGTTTCTCTGTGTAGCCCAGGCTGTCCTGGAACTTACTTTGTAGGCCAGCGAGGCTGGCCTCAAACTCACAGAGATCCGCCTGCATTGCAGCTTAAATGAAGCTCCTTACATCACGTCGAGTCCACATGCGTGAGGATAGGTACAAGCAGAGGCTAGTGGAATTGGAGTGACAGGTGGTCATGAGCCACCTTTTATGGGTGCTGGGAATCAAATGGGGTCCTCCGGAAGAGCCCTTGCTCTTAACCGCTGAGTCATCTCTCCAGTCCTAAATAAAGTCTCCCTTTTCTTTTTTTTTTCTTCTTCCACTTTTTGGTTTTTTGAGACAGGGTTTCTTTACACTAAGTAAAGTTTTTTAAGGACATAGTGTATCTAAAAGTTACTTCACCTATCCTTAAGTTTAACCTTTTAGTATGGTTTTCAAACTGTGTTCATTTAAATAATATACTGGAAAACACAAATTCAAATTAAAAAGCAATCTTATGTCAAAAAGATATGTATAATGTCTATATACGTATATAGATACACCTACACACAGAACATGTGTTAGCATATTCCTACTATATGTTTAGTTAGGATGAACAAATACATACAAACACACATGTGTTAAACAAGGTAATAAGATAGAAGTCAGGATCTACTCAATCTTAACAGCAGGAAGGAAAAGTGCAAGCCAATAGCAGCGGTCACAGTCTTAGTAACGGCGACATGATTAAATTCAAAGACCTGGCTGACAATCCTTTATCTAGTTTTCAGTCTCACAACTTGAAGGTTTTAAAATAACACACAAAGATTACACGATTTAAAATAGGCTATTTAGTAAAAAATTTAAGGGTCGTGACATATTAACATGCAAAGCATACACAGGACTGTGATAAATTAATTTTTTGAAATTACATTGTAACTAGCTGGAATTTTTCTTAGAAAAATAAACCAGAGAGTAAAGAAACACTTTCTATACAACACTGGAAACTAGGTATTCTCATAAGAAGTGGTGGAGCTCCTTGTACTGCTCCAGAGGAACAGACTAGGAAAAGCACGGTTTGACAATGGGAATGAATTACAAGACTCGGAAATGAAGTAATACATCCATGTTTTAAAAATCCAAGAAAAAGAATATAATCTAATAGAGGAAGCTACTCAGTGAAAACAGTTGGCTCCACAGTAAGGATTAGAACCAGGAGAAATAAAACTGCACAAGACAAATGTTCTTTACCAGTGCTAAGCAATTATCCAAACTATTTTTATATCAGAATTATATTGCATCAAATTTAACAACAGCAAAAAAGCTGAACCATTATCAGAACTGTCTGACAGGCTTTTTAAACTCTATGACTTGCCTTGCCTCTAGCCTTCCTAGAACTCCAAGTAGGAAGGAGTAGGGAGATGGCCTTAAGAGGGATATGGGGATATATATATATATATGTCTCTCCCTTGATTATGTGAGTCTGGAGAGCAGAGAGCCTCCCACCTTTGTCCCCCAGAAAGGAAGGGGTCTGAATGGAAACATATGACCCACAAGATGATTAATACACCTACTGACTAACATTTGCTGGGAAATTGTTTGAACTAAGTGAGATGTTAATTATGGCTTAGAGCTAATTTTGTCACACTTATGAATGTGCTGAAACATAATTCACTAGTATGCCAAATTAAAGGAATCAACTATAAAGTATTGTATAAAAAGCTGGTGTTTCTGTATATTTAGGGTAATGACGGGAAAATGTTGGTTTTTATGAAAATTTAAAGTATGAACTATTAAAAAAGCAGTTCAACAGTATTTAAAATAGATTAGTTTAAAATTGAGCTTTAGAAAAAAAATCCTAGTTCCCTTTTCATTCTACTATTCACAATAACCAAAAGCATTATCACAAAAGATTATAAAAACATTTAAAATACAATTTTATGCGACTTTTATTTGTACTTTAGGATCTAAACAACTGTAGGGAACGCCCTTGCAGGGCAGCACAAAGTGATTTTCTTTTTATTTGAAGCTATTCAAATTCGAGACAGGCTCACTACTTTGCTCTAAAGTCCTCAGCCCTGTCAGCTAACCCAGGCAACCTAAGAGCTATCTGTGACGGCAGCTTGACTGTGGGAGCCTACAGAGCCTACAGAGCCTCCCCACCTCGGCTCCCCCGGGAGAGGGAGGGGTCTTTGTGTGCTTTTCTGTGGTGGTTCCACTGAATTCATCACAATAGAGATGGACATTTGAAATTCATAACGATCCAACATCTGAGCAATCTTCTTCCGAGACACACCATGTTTATTCCTCCTACCAAAAAAAGAAAAGGATTTTACATCTTTTCTTTCTTTCTTTCTTTTAGAAAGCCAAGGTTTAGAGATTCAGTTATGTTACAGTAACAGTATAAAGTCTACATGGTACTTTATAAACATGAGAAGACACACTCTGTTCATCCTTGCTTATACAACAAGACTGATACTTGCTATTTTCAGAGGACACAGTTAAATAATTACAGCCTCTTACAGAGAATGCTCACTGAAAACATTAGGTATACAGCAAAATAGAAGTGTTTTCTTAAAGAGAAAGAACATGAAGTTGGAGAATGGTATCTGGGAGGAATTGAGGGACAGGAAAGAATATGATCAAAAATATTACATGAAATTTCTTTAAACATTTTAAAAGGGAAAATTTTTTTTTAATTAATAGAAGAAAAATTTATGAGCTAGTGTTTTGAGACTTACAAAGAAATGAATGGATTTCCCAGGACTTACCAAAAATGAAAATTATTTATCAGTTACTTTATGACACTTCCTCTTGTATTTATTATTATTGGTTTTATGAGACAGGGTCTATTTATTATTATTGGGTATTTTGAGACAGGATCTCTCTGGCTGTCCTGGAATTCACTCTGTAGACCAGGCTGGCATTGAGAATTCACAGAGTTCTGCCTGTCTCTGTCTCCCAAGTGTGGGGATTAAAGGCATGCACCACAATGCCTAACTTTTCCTATTGCATTTTAAAATTTCATATTACTAGTACCTTATTATTAGAAATATAATAGGATGTTAATTGAAAAATTAGATAAAAAGAATATATAATATATGACTTTATTTATATATGCATATGTAAGTTGAAAAAAAGGCAACATTAAGTCATGATATCAAGACAAAAAACTACATGGCAAAACTTCCAAAAAACATAGGCAGTAAGAGATTATCAGGTCAAACAACAACAACAACAGCAAAAACTGAACTGTGACAAGCAGCTGAGGGACAGCTAAGTATGTGTGCCATGCAAAGTCCTTGTTCAGCTTTGGTCTCCCTAGTGCTGGGATTATAGGCATGTGCCACCAAGCCCCGCTCTTCCTGTAATTGTCTTTATGTAAGTTTTGGACAAGAAAAGTTCTTGACACTCAGGCCTTTGGACAGTTTATTTACTCTCAAGAGTTTCCTACAATATGACTCTGACTCTGCGAGACTCCAAGACAACACACAGGAACAGGCTTTACATTCATAGTATTGTTCTTGCTTTACTAACTCATTTTTCCTAGAAATAAGCCACAAAAGACACATCTATTTTCTAATCTGATGTTTTTCACTCAAAGTTTAAGAACAACAACAATAGAGACAGAAGAAAAAAATAAAACAGATCCAAGGTTAAAAATTGGTAAGAAGCCGTTAGTGGCGCACGCCTTTAATCCCAGCACTC